TTAGGAAAAGCCAAACCATTTTTAAATTGTTTTTTTGTTGTTGTTAGGAACAGTATCTACCAGTCTTCGTACTCGATAAAACTTGCTCTCCGGCGGCTTCTGCTCCTTCGTCCACCTATGTAGGAAAAGCCACCATTTGACCATCTTGTGTCAGGTTGCACGGTATTAGTGTCTAATGAATATAAAATTCAGCATGACAGGGTGAGAAAATCTGCAAGGAATTGGTATGAACACCGCTTATACTCGGTTACAAACATAGGACTTGTAACAATTTTATGGGTTTGGTTTTGTTTGTTTCTGTTTTACGGTATATCAACCTCAATGGGTTATTTAATGCCGACAACATTCTTATTGCTGGTAATGTTTTTCTTCAAAAATCCATTTCTGGGAATATTTTTTCTTTAAAAATCTATTTCTGAGAACATTTTTCCTTCAAGAAATCTATAGCTGGTAATATTTTTAAAAAATACAGCTGTTTGTATTGCTGGTATTTTTTTGAAAGTATTGCTGATAATAATTTTTCCTTTAAAAATTACTGCTGGTGATAATTTTTTGTTTTCAAAGTATTACAAAATATTTCTGGTATTAAAAGATATTTTTACACAAGTTTGGGTTTTAACTATTTGCCCATAGTTGGGAACCTAACAGGTGATACCATCCTGGACCAGGATGGACCTGGGAACACTAGTAATTAAGAGGTGATTCCACGCTCCTCAAAAACCTCCTGATCAGAGGCCTTACTGTTGGATGTAGTTTATCGTCTTACCCAGGATGCAGGTGTAGTTTATTGTCATACCCAGCACGGAACAATTTTAAGGGACTTTACAATACCCATAGACAAAACAATCAAAGGCTAACGACTCAGAGATAAGTAATCAAACACACACAAAAAACAAAATGTGCTTTCTTATTGATACGGTAGTTCCTGCAGACTCTAATATAGTTTTGAAAATCTTCAAAAACTATCAAGATTTTTAAAAATCTAGCTCTTGAAGACATCAATAATTGCACTTGACTTTGCCGTAACTTTAGTTGGAAAAGGTTCTGATTGACTCATTGAAAGGATCAATAGTATTCTATATTTTAAGGAAATACAAAAAATATATTTCTTGCTAGCACACCTTACACTCTATAGGGCTTTATGTAAAATGCGTATGTATTTGAAAATTGTTTATTTTTTTATCCAGATGTGCAGCAAAAAGGAAAGAAATTAGTATACAACAGAAATCAAAGAAAATGATAAATAATAATAATAATAATAATAATAATAATAATAATAATGCCTGTTTATTGATATGGCAGTCCCTGCTGACTGTAATGTATCTTTGAAGATCTTCAAAAAGCTGTCAAAATACAAGGATCTTGAAATAGAAATCTCAAAAATGTGGCATATGGGAACATCAACAATCCCTGTTGGAGTTGGAGTCCTAGGACTGGTTGGAAAAGATTCCAGTAGACTAATTGAAGAGATTCCTGGAAGTCCATGCCTCAAAGAGATACAAAAAATTGTTCTGACAAGTACAGCCCACACTTTACGAAGGTCTTTATCTATGTAATTTTTTTTTTGTCAGTGGAAAGTGTCATGATGCCATTTCTAACCTTAGGTCCCTGGGCGGGACCCGGAAAGAAATGTGTAAACGCCAGAAATCAAAGAAAATAAAAATTATAATAATAGAAACAACAACATCTCACTCAACTTAAATTCACATACAAGACTCCAAGCATAGATATCTATCAAAGATATCTTGAATCAACGAATGATTGGATGCTAAAGATTGCCTGCCAGCACAAATAAAAAAAAATGCTAAATTAACTTATGAAAGAAAGGCAAAAATACAAACAAAATCCTTCGTCCACCTATGTAGGAAAAGCCACCATTTGACCATCTTGTGTCAGGTTGCACGGTATTAGTATCTAATGAATATAAGATTCGGCATGATTCGGCATGATTCGGCATGATTCGGGTGTGGGAAATGTATAGCTGTTTGTATTGGTGGTATTAAGTATAATGCAAAGAAGATGAAATAGGGAGTGAAATTTCAAACTTAAAGGCCAAAAACATTTAACAAAATATAAGAGCGTAACTAACATAGAAACAAATAAGAAGAAAGATCCCTAATACCACTTTTATAGAAACATCAAAGAAACTATTGATTATCTAATACAGGGGTCACCAAACTACGGCCCGCGGGCTGGATCCGACCCCCGATGTCAGTTTATCCGACCCGCCGTTTCACTGTGACACAAATGAGCTAAAATATAATTATTTATATGGAATTATCAATAGATTGGAGTTAAACGTACTATGTAGAAAAATAAATGTAAGTAAAAATGTCAAAATTTGGCCAATCTGATTTTTGCATCTAGGATGGGGCAGAGAGATTCCCGTAGTGAAAGATATGCCAACAATATAACCTTCCATTTGCAGAAAAATGGTATGAAGACAAACTACCATCAATAATAGAATGTGAAAATGTTACAGTGCGCTGGGACTTCACTATACATACCGAACGTACTATAGAAGTCAGTAGACCGGATATGAGAATAAAAGACTTGAAAAAGATCAGTGATATGTTATAAAAATGACCATTCAGTTTGATAAAAACATTACGCCGTAAGAATTTGTCAAACTTTCAAATTATAAGGACGTCGAAATAGAAATTGTAAGAATATGGCATTTAAACACAACCACTATTTCAACAGTTACCTCCCTGTGCCTTTTCTACAAATACTTTCACGATAATTGTTCGGATGAACTCTTCGCTATGGTTGTTTGTTGTTTTATTCCCCCCCCCAGACAATGAATTGTACATAAGGGAACTAGTTACGACTTTCATAGAGACAATGAGCTATTATGGTGGATGTCGTAAGAAAGTTAAGTAAGAATGTGTTGTTTTGGTGTAAGGAATATTGTTGTATGTTTGGGTCAGTGTTTGTGGCTAGCTAAGTTTATCGTTAAGACAGAAGAAGACCGTCCTTTTCCCCATTCCCCCTTTTTTGGCCTTGTGCCACATTTTGTATTATCATACAAATAAATATCACTTTTCGCTATGGTGTCTAGACTTTATGAATTTAAGCGCAGTACTTGTTTAGCGGCAAGGTCTCATCAATTCACAGTTGAATTTGTTAGATGGAACCCTAAGTTCTATGCTAACAGTTTCTTTACTTGCACTTCTCGTTTGTGGAACACCCTTTCTAACCAATTTTAATCTGCTAAAAATTAAATGTAATGTCAATCGTTATCTACCTTCCCCCTGATTATTATTTTCTTTTCTTGCTCATTAGTAATATTTCTGTTTCTGTTTCTAATTCTTCCACACCCAGTAACCCATTACGTCTTAATGGCTTTATTGCCTTGCATGGGGTGAACTCCATTAAAAAAAAAAAGGAAAATCAGGAATAATTAAAAAAAGATTTCGTCATGGTGCATTGATATATAAGATGCATTAATATTTCTGCTCGAATAGAAGACTCAGTTCGTATCCATCATAGCAATAAAATCCAACGTGTAACTTTCGACATTATATTTTCTTGTTCTAAATGCAGTCTTAACATTGAACATTAATAGTGAGACGGTCTCCAGCAAAAAGACAACCAATATATTTCACAAGCCTTATTGGCATGCTTCTCAAGGATTAATGATACTGGCGTTTGTCTTTGAGTGAATATAAATTTGCAAGTAGATAAACTATTATAAAAAAATTAAAATATGATCCCTTTTGTTCTGCATAATTAAAACAAACTAATTACTTCGTGTCCTCAAATTAATGAGATGTACTCTAAAATTCATACAAATATATTGCTATCTGTGGAGTGGAGTAATGGATAGCGGCTCGGATTGAGGAATCGGAGAGCCGAGTTCGAATTCCACCCGAATCCATTAAATTCACCTACGTGCTAATACCCTTGGGAAAGGTATGAATCCTCTTCTTCTCCCCCCAGCTATGAGTAAATAGCAGGACAGACCGAGTTCTATAGCCATGGATGGCTACCACAGAAAGTAATGGCAACTGTGAGGGGAAAAAATCTACCTCGTCAGTCATGTATCGAAAGATACATGATCGCCTATGCGTGTATCACGGATGGCGCATAACTGACTGATTCTTCGTTGGTGCCGTCAAAAATTTAAAGACAGACCGAGCATTTTAAAGTGTTTTAATTTCTTTGATATTTTGCTGTGTTGGTTTTCAATCTTTCCTCGATCTACTTCAGTATTTCCTTCAGAGAATTGGGAACTGTCACGAGTGTTCAGATGACTCTCAGGATGACCATTAACTTAATATATCAGTTTTTACACTATTTAAATTGTTCGGACTGTTGTACATTCCGGCTTTCTCCAGGTGATATACGTTGTAATTTCGGAGCAAACCCTTTATTTCATCCACCGGGGTAGATTGTTCTAGTTTCACGTGCCATACCTTTTCTGGATATCTCAGTTTCAGTTATCTCCCTTTAGTAACTCAACTCTCCAAGTTCACCTCTGCTGTGGCCAGGTATTGAACTCACAACTCTTTGGGTCACGTTACTGTATTAACCAACGCTTTTATGAACAGTTTTTACAGATTCCGTTATTCACGTTTTTATTTTATTTTATTTTATTTGTCATACAATATAAATAATTATTATTCTCTTTAATTTCCTTTCTATTTTTTAATTTTTTTATGAGAGAATGTTGAAAAAGAAATTGATTTCAAATAAATTATTTAGCAATATCTCACAATTGGTTGGTTGTTGTTTTTTTTAACGGTATATCAACTTCTATGGGTTGTTTAATGCCGAAATCTAAATATTTTGTACACAATTCTTTTTGAGATAATAATGGTTTTTAGTGATACAATACTTACTAATTAACCCGTAGCTGGGGGAGAAGAGGTGGATTCAATACCTTTCGCAATGGTATTTGCGCGTAAGTGAATATAACGAATAGAACTGGATTTAGAACTCGCCTCCCTGATTGACAATTCCGAGCCATTATCCATGGCATCATCCGTACATCCAAGCTTACAACACCTGGTATTCCCATGCGGTCACCCATCTAAGAACTGGCCAGGTTCGACGTTGCTTAACAACGGTGATCGTACGGGAACCGGTGTTTCAACGTTGCCGTAAGTCCTCTCAGAACTGGGGAAAAACAACAGAAAGTTCCTTGCAGCAGGTGTACTCGAACCTTCCCGGGAGTTTGGTATTGGAGGCAACAGAATTGGGCAGCAAAAGAAAGAAACGAGGCTGCACCAGAGAAATCTCCAGGGTGTTTGGAAATAACAGACTAAAAAACAACAGTCAGTTTGTTTCTGCCTTTGACGTCTACTGGGTCTCAAGTTCACTCTAGTTTTCAAGTAGAACCCATATATACGATCTGTTCTAAAGATACTGGGGAGATTGTCTGCCAAGTCTAGCGAACCAGGAAGTATCAGACTTCTTTTGCCATGCTTTATCTGAGTCAGATTAGACCAAAAACAAATGGACTACTGCTGCTCTATCTGGGCCGGGCTTGCACAATTCTCACTTCCCAACTTTAAAGTCAAAATCGTTTACGCGGTCTTCTGGAGGAAAAAAGTGTTCTCCACTCAGCAGACTCTTCCCTAAAGACACAGCTTCGCAATCCAATCGTTACTCTGTTGCTATTTCCATGGCAAATGTTCAGATGAACGCTCCATTCTTTAGTTCCACCACTTCAGACCTTTACACCTAGGACACGTTATGCTACTTCCACGGGGTCGAATCATTCTCATTTCCCCCGTATTCCAAATGTAAGGAGAAAATTTCACTTAGAGTTTTTTTCCAAGACCGTCCACTTTGTGGAACAAATCTAAAAATGTTCACAAATTGTTGAGACACTTACTTTTGCGCTTGGGTGTTGAACTGGTCTCCAGATGGAGGCACCAAAAGTTGTCAACCATTGAAATTGAATTGAACTAGCCTTGATACCATCTCAGATATGTCCTGACAGAACTTAACCTAATAATAAGTGCAGTTGAGAAAAAAATGAGATAAAAACGAAAGAAGTGTACTTTAAGAAACATTCAACATTCCATTCTTTGATATACCGTTACCATACTGTTTATTAAGTCAGTATATTTTCCATCGGAATCGGAGAGCCGAGTTCGAATTCCAATCGAATCCATTTCATTCACTTACGTGCTAATATCCTTGGGAAAGGTATGAATTCTCTTCTTCTTCCCCACCAGCTATGGGTAAATAGCAGGACAGATCGGGTTCTATAGCTTTGGATGGCAACTGGTCTACCGCAGAAAAAATGGCAACCTACTGCGGGAAAAAGTCTGCCTTGTCAGTTATGTATCTAAAGATACATGATCGCCTAAGCGTGTATCACGCATGGCACATATCTGATTGATATTTTCCAAATCTGTGAGATATAAGAACGTTCTATACAGTTATCACCAATGAATCATATGTCACCAATTCAAATGGACATTAATAAATTTGAATATATATAGACTGTGTTCGTATCTCAAAAGTACGAACAGAGTAATGGTTACCAGCGGGGAAAATGGGACGGGTGTGCCGAGTTCAAATTCCAGCTGAGACCGCTGCGTTTACTTACGTACCAATGCTCTTGGAAATAAACGTGGAAAGGTATGAAATCAGTTCTTCTCTTCATCCAAGACAGCCTTGGTTGGTAGTCAGTCTAGGAGATTAAAAACCGGTTGGGTGTAAGGCTAGCAACTCCACTCTGTAATAACATACAGGAAACATAATGTGATGAGCTTGTGGCTCTATACTCCACAGGGGAGTCTACAGAACATACATACAAACATGTCTAAAAAACGTGATGTGCTTGGGCAATTCTGAGTACAGATTCGGAATCAGCTTGTTCGAATTATGTCAGTATAGTCTCATATGTTTGGGTAAATGATATGTCTTATTGTTCGACGCCTTCCCAATCACAGCACCAAATCCTGATTTGTTTGATAAATCCTAAGTATTGATTCAGAATCAACAAACTCAATTTAGTCTAAAACACACGTTGCAAGTCTTTGTTGCTCCAATGTTCTCATTACATATCATAGAATGTTCGCATATTATTAATGGATCAGTGGGTAGTAAGATGTGTTAGAATCGATGTGTTTGGGTGTAAGACATATATTTTATGAAATTTCTACTGTAGTAATAACTGTAGTATGTTAGCATACCGTCGGTACGTAGATAGGTACAAACGTTTATATCACCTACGGTTTTAAAGTTAATGCTTTATGAGGAGTATAGGAAGCTTTGTGCACATCGAAGTGAGATACGGCCAATGTATTATATAAAGATATCAATATTAATAAGAATAATAATAGTAATTGCGATGATACTGAAGGCTTTTTTTTTTTGCATCTCTTGTATTCTCAGTTTTTTTTGTGCCTCCACATACCGGTCAAAGCGTCTCTATTTCGCAGTTTAATTATTAACGATATTCGGCCAGATTCAAACGACCTTGTCATCGTCAATTGCCGGAAATGAATATTTTAGCAGGATGTCCGCTCGTCTATGACCATACCACTTTAGAGCTTACGACACGCCGTAAACAGTTCTGCTTCATTGCTACGGCGAGCAGGGGAGATGGTACGGCACACATCGGATATAAAACCGAACGGTCGGTTGCAAAAGGGTGAAATCAATACGACTGCCATAACATCATCCGGCGTTATCGTCACCATTATCATGGCTGGTGTAATTATTTTTTATTACCGTCTTTATTATGACACTTTCGGTCATTCTGGTGTTGTCTGAGTTATCTAACTTTACCAATCTATCATTTTAATCCGTTCGTACTTTTGGTAATTCTGTTACAGAACTCATTCATTTGAGACGACTCGCTATCAATAATTAAAAAAAAAATCGACGATGAGGTTTATTCTCAATAGATTGAAGATCAGTAACCCTAATCACAGAACAATAAGGTGTACCACTTTGTTTAATTTCCTTACTTTTTATTCTCACTTTTCCTGTCTTTTTTTTTCGACGGCTTTCAATGAATCGACTCCCCGTGTCCTCTGTAAATATACGAATTACCTTATATTTTTCTTTGAATTGTTAATTTTTCTACTGTTTCAACTTTAAAGTTTACTGCTTCCAGCAGTTTTCATTGCTTCTTAGAAGTCTTTGTATCAATATTGTTTTCCATTCTTATAAAAAAAACCCACTTATCAACAATAACTTCTACAACCTAGTCGTCGACGAGCAAGTTAGCATTAGAGAATTCAGAAAAAAATAACATAAACAACAATCCTGAGATAAACAAAAGTAAATACGCCGTTGACTTATTCTGTCGTAGCAAGATGCACCTTAATTATAAACAAAAAGGTAAAAAAAAAACATGAAAAATATAATTCTCTGGTACATTATACATAATGATCCCAAAAAATAACATAGATTTATCATTTACAAGAAAACGTTTAAAATATCTAACCTAATTATTACCTGTAACTCGGGACCTCAAATCTCCGGTTTCCTCGGTCGAAAATTCTCATGTTCTTTAGGAATTAATTCGAATTCTAGCGTTCTAAAAATACGTGGGTGCAGCCATGAAAAATCTTATCTACCATACTGACTTGACAACGATTTTAATAATGACTGAGACCGTCAGACAAAAACATCAACTTTGGGTACTTTATCCGTAATTTTCATATGGATGCTAAATAACTTAGTGGAAAATATAAAAAAAATGAAACAGAAAAACTTGATTATATTTAATAAAAATCGTTGAAATGAATAATTGCTGCTTAAATATACCATATATATATATATATATATATATATATATATATATATATATATATATATATATATATATATATATATATAATGTAAACACTAGTACTCCATGGTCATAATTTATTACATTGGAATCGTTGAATTTGTAGGTCTGATGAATTGGATCGTATTTACGATTCCAATGTAATAAATTTTGACCATGGAGTACTAGTGTTTAAGCCTTTTTATTATATACTTACTTTGTCCTGGACATTGAGTTCTACCTGGATTCTATACTCTTGGAATTATTTTTTTTACATATATATATATATATGTATGTGTATGTATGTATATATATTTATATATTTTAGATATATGTATATATATGTATGTGTATATTAACCACTAATATTATCTCTCTCTCTCTCTCTCTCTCTCTCTCTATATATATATATATATATATATATATATATATATATATATATATATATATATATATATATATATATATACATTTTTATTAATAACGACAGACAATGTACTACGGTTAAGCTTTTTATTTAATTTTTCTTGTGTTCGAACAAGTGCTTTGTTTTTTGGACACAGAGTGTGTGGAAACTGTCCAAATGTTCTATAATTCTGAGCACTTTCGGCTATACTTTTAGCCATTATCAAGGATGATTTTTTTTCAGTTTAATTGAGTGTGTGCGTCATGTGTATGTTTTTAGTATTATATATATATATATATATATATATATATATATATATATATATATGGCATCCGTCAATCTACGGTGCAATGCGTGTACCAGGAATACCTGACAGAATACATTCGGGTCCTTGTAACCAGAAGCATCAAGTTATAATAGTCTATATTTAAAAAAAATGTGAGACAGTCTCAAATCCTCCCCTCATGCAATGAGAACGTACCAGAAGTATATCTAGCAGATAGCTCTTTATCTTTATCATGAGATATAGGAACAGAAAGACACATGGTTACACCTGTTTATACCACAACACCGGACGCATAGCCTCACCTGGTCCCATGACGTTGTTAATTGAACTCTGGAGGACTGGTAACATGTGACGGGCTTCGATGAGTCACATTCTTTCGGGCTAATGATAGGAATGGGGTGCAACGCAAACCCCATGAGATCATGGATCCCAGTTGTCAACATTGCGATGAGGCAGGCTAGTTGGTGCTTCAATATTGGTGTGAAGTGTATTCACATGGCGTGGGTTAAGTCCACTTGTCCATCTAAACACATCATTCACCCGCAACAGCTGCATTGCCCCATTTCGTGGCCATTTACACCCAATTATGAACTTACTGTACGCCCACAAACAATGAGGTAATCCAGCAGGATAATGCAGCTAGTCATCAGTTGACAAGTTGTTCAAAACT